GAAGTTATAATTGTAATATATGAATAAAGGAATGCTGTGAGATAAAAGTGAAACTTAAAAAAGAGAGGGACAACAAGCTCTAGCACATGAAAGAAAAACATTTCTTTCCTGGGAGTCTGGCCACAGAAATAAATATGTATCTAGTTGACATTTCTTTGTATCTTATTCAAGCAGAATAAAACTAAAATTATCTCACATGCCTATAGGCTGCCCTGGAGTAAAGCATAGAAATGTAGAAGGGATTATTTCATATGTGCATTTTCATTTGCTTCCTGTCTAAGATACAAAAGCAGCTCATTCTAGTTGCTGAGAAATCATTTGGTAAAACAAATCCTTTAAAAATAGAAGACATTTCCACTTAAATATTTTTCGGACACTTCATGATATAAATGAAGTACTTTAACCAGGGGCAAATCCAGGTGCTTAGACTGAACTTGGAAAAAACATTACATTTGATGGCTAAAAATAAAAATATCATTTGGGAAGAAAAGCTATACATGAATTTTCCTCTTAGAGCTTTCTATGCTGGAGCAACAATATCAATATTGAAGGAGAGTATCTAGTACCAAACAAAATTACAATTTTATAGCAGAGCTAAAACCTACAGTCTGTCCTTTATAAGTGACTGTGAGCATTTCTTTGTAAACTGGTGGTAAGATGAGTAAGAAAAAGATGAGTGATTTGTTAGAAACAGTCTAATTTGCTTAGTAACACACGCAGGAGCAAGGCTTGCAAGATCAGATACAATTTAAAGAAACTGTGAGATAAATGGGCCTTGCAAATTCATAGTTGTACAATGTCCTACCCAACTTGGCACTCAGTGGAAAAAACAACAATTATGATCACTTGAAAAAGAAACATCGGGAAGCATGGCTGCTGCTGTTTTGCTCCTGCAACCACTTTGGTTTTTATAACACAGCCTGCTGACCAGATCATTTACTCAGGATGCGAGAGGACTGCATTCTCCGTTTTGAAACCCCGCATCTTCCACTTCCCTGGAGAGTGCACCAAACACCACGCTTAGTGCTTCGATCCCCCTGTTTAAGTTGTCTCACTGTGCACCAAAAAATGTAAGCCAGCCAGCCACAGAAGAGTATGACACTGTGGCCTAGAAATTAGAGATTCTTGGATGGATTCAGGCTCTCAGGGTTATGTCAGCTCTTACCTCAGGAGATTTGTTATGAAGACTGGGAAAATGCTAAATGCACCCATCCTCCTTTTTTATTCTATAATTTTAAAGAGAAATGGATGCCCGTTCTTAGCCAAAGACTCTGGAATTTGAATGTTTCTGCTCACCTTCTTCTAAGTTCTGGAAATTGGTCAGACTCATATAAAATATTTTTTTAATCTAGTTACTCTCCTGTCCAGCATGTAGATATTTTTTGTATTTCTCCAAGGTGTCTATTTCCCTTCCTATACTTCCTGTAGAGAGAAACTGGTTTTGGGCAGGTGAATTCCTGCTCTTGAAGGTCTAGGAGCTTGGAGGTTATGTCACTGTGCCTATCCTCTTTGGATCTGTCCCAAAGTAATTTCTCTCGGTTTCAGGGAACTGCTGTCTTGTTCTTGCAAATCTAACTGGTTATTCTGCTATCAGACATGTAGGTATAGACAGAGCTCCCACAAGCTGCAAAATTTTCTGCCTCAGGCCAACTACTTTGCCCGTAGTCTCTATTTTTCAATGTCTGGATTTACAGGTAAAATAGAATTAGGCAAGGTGATACAGGGAAAGCTTTACTGCTTGTAACTTCCTTATGAAATAAAATTTGATCTTTCTCTGTAACTAGATTTTGAAGCACTCATTTGTATTTTGTTCAGCTCTTCTTTTGTGAACGTTGCCTTTTTCTACTATGTGAATGCGCAGCAGGGAATTTACTCCCACTGAACTGAATGATTAAAAACATGACTTCAGTGAAAAATGCTCTACTGGAAAATACAGTAGAACATCTACAGTGCTGTTCAACTAATAAGTATTGGTTCCCTGTGGTGCAGTTTGTGGGAATTGTGAGCTTCTGCAAGGTTTCTATAAAGCAAAACAGATGCCAGTTTGTTCAAGAATGCTCAGTTGTTGTATGACCTGTCCTCACAAGGGCTGAAAGAGAGGAAAAATACAGCTGAGTTTTATGAATTTGTTAAAGCAATAATTTCATAACTTTTTAAAAACAATTTTTTTTAAATTATACCTTTTGCTTGTTCAGTCAAACACTATGATACTTTCTGTTTGAAGCATAATTATATATAGTGAATATACCTGCCATCTGTAGGTAGTCTGATACAACTGCCTCATATTAACCTTTTATTTAGTCACATTAATTATAAAGGTGGCATAGGTTATTAGTAGGATTATCCGCTTGGGTTCACTGTGGAGTTTTGATAAAATGCTGAATATATAATATTGTCCTAAATTCCTTGACATTTGCAGCAAATAACTATCTCTCAATTTTAGTCAAGAAAATTTCTGTTGTCACATTCAGCCACCGCCCTCATATTGAAAGCATAATATTATCATTTGTCCATTGTAATGAAAGATAGATCTGGCTTTCATACTCACCCTGCAATTTTTTGTAAAATTATACTGTTATCCATACAACAAACAGTTCTGACATACTGACTGATAGATAATTACCTCCTCCTTCTCTTAGATGATACTTTATTCCAGAAAAAGAAGAAAAAACCCAAGAAATACTTTAATCAAATTATGTATGTTGTGTTTCTGATCTATAATATATTTCAAATAATCCAGTATGTTCATTCTATATGCAGAAAATTATTTTCTGAAATATTTTACTTATCGATCCTAAAACTATAAATCTAGATCTGACATTAAGATGGGTGCTTATTATTTGTTTGTCCTGGTTTCGGCTGGGATAGAGTTAATTTTCTTCCTAGTAGCGGGTGCAGTGCTGTGTTTTGGATTTAGGATGAGAATAACATGATAACACACTGATGTTTTAGTTGTTGCTAAGCAGTGTTTATATTAAGTCAATGACTTTTCAGCTTCTCATAGTCTGCCAGCGAGGAGGTGCACAAGAAGCTGGGAGGGGGCACAGCCAGGACAGCTGACTCAAACTGGCCAAAAGGCTATTCCATACCATATGACGTCATGCTGAGTATATAAGCTGGGGGGAGTTGTCTAGAGGGCAGCGATCACTGCTCAGGGACTGACTGGGTGTCGCTCAGTGGGTGGTGAGTGGTTGCATCACTTGGGTTTTTTCCTATCCCTGTTTTTTTTTTTGTTTCTCTCTCTCTCTCTCGTTTTACTTTCCATTACTCTTTTTTTTTTTTCAAGTATGAAACTGTTCTTATCTCAACCCATGAGTTTTCTTACTTTTGCTCTTCCAATTCTCTCCCCCATCCCACTGGGCAGGGGGAGGATCAGCGAACAGCTGTGTGGTGCTTGGTTGCCGACTGGTGTCAAACTACGATGCTGTTTTTCCCCTGTCATTGTCAGAAACTTCAGATTGCTGGAATCTTTCAAAGAATGCTTTGCCTTTTTTTTTTTTTTTTTTTGTTCTTCACATCATTAGGAGGATTTTTCTGCTAGGAATCTCTTCCAAAGTCCTTTCATTTTCAGGGGAAAAGGCAATTCACAAATACTTCATATAACAAGGAAAATGAGAATTTAATGCATATCTGTGCCTTCCTCCTCACACATCCTGTGGTAGCTCAGATGATAGCATCAGACAGAACCTTTGGTTTTGTCTTTTTGTCTGTCTGTGTGTGTGCCTTGAAATGGCATAGCTGCTGTATGCTTTCCATCCTCTTTTATGTTCTAAGTGAGATATAAAGGGAGATGATAAGTACAATATAATGGGTTGAGTTAACAAATGCTAATTTTATTTCACATAAAAAATATTGCTGTTAACTAGAAGATAATTCTGCAAAGCCTGTCTTGTGTAAGCTGGTTTTACCTTCTCCTCTGCTCTCCTCAGGATATTTGTGTATAATGCAAATAGGGCTTTATGATGAGATTATTTAAAACACATGGAGTTGTAATTTCGCTTTTTCCATTGAAATTCTAGTGTAACACTGGTTTGGTCAAACTGTCAGACCTTCTCTGCACTAGAAAGCTATCAGGTCTTTTTTTCTTTCTGTGTTTTGCTGGGTGTTTTCAATGTCAAGCTCTCTGTGCTATTACAAATTCCTTTAAGCCCAGAGTCTGGAAGATGCTAGAAATTTTTCTAGTGTTAGCATTGATGGTCAGATCATGCTCACATTTTATCCCTAGCTACATGATATCTTGTATGGACTTCTTCCTCCTCATAATGCAAGGGCTCTACAGCCCTTCCCAAGATTTTCTGGGGGGTTTTCCACTGATCCAAGGCGCTGCCCCAGTTGAGGGGATGAGCGCTGTGTAAGTGACATACCCTATGTAGGTACATGGGCATATACATATATACATATATTACATATATATGCTGTGCAATCTTCTACAGTTCTCCCTTGTAGTAAATCCTTTCCCTATTCCCTTCTAGGATGATTAGGTAAAAGCTACAGATATGTAGCTATAACATGTAAGCATGCTGAAGAGCTAGGGCAGGAATCTGAAGAGCAGGTACTCAGTATATATTGTCTTGTTTCCAGCTTTTAAGGACACTGAGTTATTATCAATTTCAGGATAGTCACATAAATCACTCAAATCACTCTCAAGTTATTCTCACTCTGTTATTACTCCCATATTACTGTCCCCCTGTATGTGTGAACACAGGGAAGACTTAATGGTGAATCCCCATATGCATAAATTTTGCATAAAGGCAAACTGGCACTGGGTACTTTAGTAATAACTTTAGATTTACACAAAACTGTTGATTTTCAGTACAAATAAGGATGAAAGAATCTCTTCCTTTGAAAATTGTACATGTCTCACAGATTCTTTTGGTAAAATAGAGGACTCTTTTTAAAAAAATTGTTCTTGTACCACTACAAGGGGTCTTTCTACTTCCTACATAGTTGTTGTAATCCCAACAAAAGTATTTATAGAATAGTACATTACTCAAACTTACAGCTTTCCAGCTGCATTATACATGTTTGCACATCCATTGGAAAATTTTTGAGATCCATCGGACAGGACAGTATCAAAGTCAATCTGGAAAGCACAAAAAAATATTAAAAATATACTACAAAAATGCCATAGAACTGCACAGGAAAAATGCATGAAAACACTGGAAGTTATTAGAAATAGAAGAAAATACATTTTTTCATTAGAAAGCTCTCAAAAAGGATGTATATTAGCTGAACCCATTTCATTCGCTCAGCCTAGTATGACAATGTGGAAAAAAGTTATTACAGATTTTCAGAAAAACACATTTTTCAATAGGGTTGCCTAACTTTATGTGAAGTCTAAAGGAATGCAACAACAGAATGCTTTTTTGTGCTACAGCAGAATTATTGTACTGTTACAGTATTTCAAATGCTTGACATAAAATTTACCCATATTTGCAAGAATTTCATAACAGATGTCAGCTGTGAATCATGGTGGCAAAGTAATTTATGTGTTATTGTCCTAAAATAAGGTGCTTAAATTGTTAACACAAAGGTTTAAGATGATAACATTTTATGATATTGATAGTAGACTGAAATATGCCTGTTATTTTGAACTGCAGCTGTGTTTCACATTAGTCCTGATACTTCCTGTGAAATACTTTGCAACCTAGAGGCAAAAGAGGTATTTTTACATTTTATATCAATACAATAACTTATCTTTAGAGTGATACTTCTTGGAGGAATGAGAAAGAAGAATATAAGAGGTAAAGGCACATGTTTTCCCTCACTGGCCATGTTTAGGCATGCATTCATCATTCAGGGTCATGACTGCACCTTTCTTCTTGCTAGAAAAAACCTTGCATTAAAATTTTGCCCCATATTCATTTATCAGTTCAGTTGATAGAATTTCTTCAAAAACCTGAGGAGCTTGAATTCAATTCCTTACACATACAGCTTTTCTAGAACGGCAGTGCTCTAATCCCCTGCTCTTAAACCCATTCCCCTGTTTTTGGCATTGGGGCTAAAGGGAAATGGGCAGTAGGCGGCAAGCATGGCTGTATATTTCTTTTACCCTACTTTTTCCCTCTCCAGTAGCTAAGTGTCACTCCACTTTAGCCTGCGAGTGTCAGAGCTGCAGGGGGAGAGTCCAAGGAGGAAACTTGGACCCTGGCCATATTCCCATGCTATTAAAAATGGTTCCAAATGCAAAATCTGACTAGTAGGCTAGTAACATGGCAAGTCATTTCAGAGAAGAGGCACCTGGACTTTACTTTGTGCTTCAGTAAATATTTTAGTATTTTATATTAAGTATTCTTTGAATCAGGAACTGGAACCTTCTCATTATTTTCTTGTCTGAATTGTTCCAATGCAAATAGGGGAGGAGGAGACATCAGGGGATGAAAGGAAAAAACAAATTTAGAAATCTTCTTTTTTTTTTTTTTCTTTTAATATCAGCACGTTAGCAATTAGCATGTCTCCCCTGATCAAAAGCTTAACTGACTCAAATTCACATACAAACTCAGATGCCAATTGTATGATTTTAAATCTGTTTCAGAAATTGTAATAGTTCTTAATTAAATCATGGCAACATAAACTTTCTGGCTTCATAAGACACACAGGAGCTATCTGGCATCTGCTTTCATCACAGTCAATGTTTGCTTTTATAATTTAATATCATAATATTTCTCATGTTTCTTTTTTTCCCCCATTTCATGTGACCATGAACTTGATCTGAATTCTATTGAAGTTGCAATCCAAACTTGCTTCTGTTGAGCGGTGGTGTCTATACTCTGTGTTGTACGACTCTGGAGGGAGTGGGGCAAAGAGGAGGAGTTATCTGATTAGAGTGGAACAACTGCCAGTGCCTCTCGGTGAATCAGACAGCCTGGAGATAATTGATTTAGCTCTACTTTATACTTGGGTCCGGGGAAGGGATCCTTTTTACTTGCTTTCCATCTGTTTCTAGTGACAGAATACATGTTGTGACACTGAAGAATGATTATGTTCCCAGACTGGCAGACTAACCTCCTTTTGGATATGAAATGCTTGTAGGAATTTTAACCTAACCCTTTCTCCTGGTGTAAGCTTGACAAGACGCTGCCCACTTGCACTGGAAGGAGGGAGGGAGGAGACTCCCTTGCCACTGATACATCCACGCAAGTCACAAACGTTTTCTTTTTCTCTTAGTATACAAACTGCTTTACAGATTCCTGATGTCTCTTCAAAAAATCCAATTAGCCATTAATGCAGTAGCATAAAAACATGCAAAGCAAAACACTAAGTGGACAAGAAGTATACTTATTTTGAAAAGTGTAACATTTTGCACAAGTAGGTCACTGTATTAATACTAAACCTATATCGTGTCTAATGGGGCATTAGTATACGTATATTCAATGTGTCTCTCATTAGATCAGGTTTTTGAAGATAGTGATAAAATGCCTACTAATATCTGTATTAATAAAAGAAAAGTGGGGAGAAGAGTAAAGGAGTAGAATAACTAGATATTGTCAATACTTATATGTGATTGCTCCTTACAGCTTCTTAAACCTTTTCAAAAGTTTACTTTCCACTTTTCTCTCCATCTCCAGCAGTAAGTGAACTAGTCTTTAAATCTCATGTTTCCTCAAACAGGTCATGTTTCCATGTTGAAGTGCAACTGCAGTATCCAAAAAGGTGAAAAAGAAATAACATTGGGTTGTCATGACATTGGAAGCTACAGCATGTGAAACTCATACATAGGCCAGCTCAAATTATAATACCTCACGATTATTTGCTCTGTGCAAGTGTCCTAGCTCCTCTAGGCTCAGTATCTGTACTTTAAAATGGAAAGATGCTTTTCTTATTATTTTCACTATGCATATTCCTAATGAGGGATCATTTTCTATTTTATAATTAACAATGAACAGTAATGATGATAAATTTCTATGTTCAAAACTCACATTTACTAGTGATAGTTCTGCATGACTAGCAACTGAAAATCTCCATTAGCAATTCTTAGGTACACTTTCAGCTTCTATCTGAAAAAAATCATTTGATTAGAGACTCACCTGATGGAATAAAGCACATTTCCATTTTTGAAAATTCGCAACAACTTATTATCTGTTGTAACTTCATGAAAGTTGGCACCTTTTTCATTAGCAAAGAACAAATCAGGTTTCCAAATTGAATCCAGCATGGATGGATCTAAGTCTAAAGAGTCATCTGGATATTCACTGTATGCGAGGCGTGGATCATTCCAATTCTGACGGAGAAAGATGTTCACTCGGTAATCCTGAATGAAAGAGAAAACAAGCAAAGCTTTATCAAGCATAGGGATTTAGCTTTTATTTCATTTCTTAGCCATGTAATCCCCTGTCCATCTGTGGATGACAAAAGAATTACTTAGCTGAATACCAGCATGATACTTATTTGTATTAGTGGGGACACAATGGATAAGAATAAAGATGTATTTCAGGGCAATTGAAAAAATCCTAAGCTAAGGAAATCCAACCTCTGTGTACAGTTCATACAACTCCATACAATTCTACCCCTACAGTAGCTTTGTCTTGAAATCAAAATGAGAGAAGCATAAAAAGAGTTTTATGGAGTTACCTTTTCCTGCTCAACTCCTGGCGGAGGCATTCCCACTTCCCTCTCCTAGGCAGTGAGAATCTGTCCCACTGGAAGGAAACCTCAATTAATTTATTTTTTCTCTCTCTAATTCTTACATATTTTAGACACACCACTTAGACTTTCTGTGCCTCAGTTCCCTATTGAAAATTGTGTGAGAAGTACCTTGCCATAGAGCTGTATGAGAAAGACACATGTGTCTTCTCTATTCAAATATTGTGGAGATGATATAACTCCTTATGATAAACGAGCTTAGTGGAGCTAAGTGGAGTCACCTTAATTCCTACAGATAGTCCTGTCTTAATGAAACATATTTTTATAGGAAAGACGAATGGAGTGCTTCAAACTTCTGGAAGTAATTTTGGAGTTGTATATACTCTCTGTCAGAGACAATGTTGTATTTATGGCTGCACACTTTCTTAAAACTTCACCACTCTGAAGGATGAAAATGTTTGTTTTTAAATAAAAGTGCATATTAGCATCTCATTAAATTATATCAAGAACTGAGAGAATTGAGACACTGAGCATAAGGACATAGGGACTATACTTTTAACAGTCATAATATGATTTTCCTCATTATTTGCACTACTGCATTAATGAAAGAAGATAAAAATAAAATAGAAACAAAGGCATGTTAGTTGCAGAAGGGATATGGGAGCTGGTTGTCAGAGCTTACATGACACTTCTAAATGTAATAGAAGTAAATAACATCACTTTTTTATTGTTGAAGAAGACAATGAAAATCAATTTTAAAAAGAAAACTTTTTGAGACAGAATGGGAAATGAAATGTTCAAGGCTGAGCAATAGAATTTGGCCAATAACTATGGGTAGTATTTATTAGTGGTTAGAATAACCAGTTAAAACCCCACTGGTGTAGAAATTATGGGTACTGTTGAAATTCCAATGTTGTATCAATATTTGGTCTTATGAAACTTGGAACATGTAGCCATACAGTTGTGAAAACGATGCCAACAGACATAATAAAGAATAACAGGAACCTCAATATGCAACATTTACTCATGAGAAATAGTTTTTTATATTTTCAGCATCCTGCTCGTTTGGTCAATTTAATTATTGAGCTTGAACAAGGGTAGCCAAATATGCTAAAAACATGCTTACCAAGCATTTGTTGCTTGATAATCAGAAAATACTGCATATCATGTAGAGAAAGTCCCAGTAGAGGATTTTATATTCATATAACCTTATAGATTTTCAAGACAAAACCAGTAAGTGGAAAACTACACCTGGAGAATGAAATTAATTCAGATTATTGTTTCCAGCAGACATGAAAAGGGCTCTCTGATCAAATGGAAGCATATAACATTAAATGCCAGGTGAAAAAAGCATAGGATTTGTTAATTTTTTTTTTTAATTGTTAATTAATTTGTTAACCCCCCTTTCAGAAAGGGACTGAAAGAAATTTCCCTTCTTTTTCATCACGGCTATTGACAGCCTCAAGAGCCATAAAAAGTTCTTAAAGGAAGCCGTTGGTATTTTTCATAATTAGCACCATGGCATGATGAAACCAGAGCCAGGGATTAGTACTTTACAGATACAGAAACAAGCCTCTTTTCTTTTTTTTCCTAAAGTAAGCCAAAACCCTTAGACGAGCTTGTGCCTCAGTGTGCATAGAACTGAGCTTTTGGTGTCTTCCATGCAGGAAGAGGACATAATACCCTTTGAAATACCCTTATTTCTTTGCATGATATCCCAAGTACCATGTAGTACCAGTTCTCCTTCCAAACTCCTGTTTAAAATTAAAAAAGCCCAGGAAGAAGCAGGATGTGGGAGCAGTGACGGCTTTTACTGCCTGTTCCAACATGTGGACTACGTTGCACTGAAGGAAACAGCTCTAAACCTGGGGCACTGGGTGTGAGCACTGCAGCCCTCAGGACTTCATCTGCACTTCAGCCAAACCCAAGCTTTACCTTTTAATTTGTATAACCTGAAGTATGCCTATTTATTTGACTTTTCTCTGTAGGATATGATGAGTTTATGAATGGGATTACTTACAGAGTAAGGGACTTCTCATATGTATAAGACAGAGTAGGTGAAAAATGCATAGCAGAAAGTTGAAATGAAAATGGAAAATGGAGGAAGACAAATGGAGGAATCTGTTCTAGGTTATATTAAGCTATTCTGTATGTCAGTTTGCCTAAAGTTTATTGGTTTAAATTGTTTCCAGCCTTTAAGATGAAAAAAATCCTAGTTAAATTTTTCATTGAAGCAATTGAAGCTATTTTTAATTGTTCTCTCCCCTGAAAATTCTGACTTAAATTAGCTCTCATTATTCACTAAAAAAATTCCTAATCTATCAAAAGCAAAGAGATACATTTGACTGCTATTGCATGAAGGACAAGTATTCATGGTCTCAGTTTATAATGACACGTTGTGAGCATAAGGCTTAACTGCTTTAAACAAGTAGGGTTGTTTGATGCAAACACAGAGACCCAAATTAAACTGCCAGAATTGATTTGTTTTCCTACAAGAGGATTACTATTCTAACGTGCCACTTGCCTGGAAGTGTGACTCCTAACTCAAATAACTCTGTGCTGGGGAGGTTCCTTGAGGGGAGCAAGAAATCATCATTTAAGTTGTGGTGACTTCCACAGCCACTTCTATAACCTCAAGGCTGCCATCTTCTGAAGAGTTGCTGTGCTCTGGTTCTACAGAATGAGACTGATTTTTGGGTCTGCCCTTGCTCCACTGTCCTTTGAAACCCTTAGCCACAGAGTGAACATTCTTAGAGGGTCAGGATACTGTTCATCTGCTTCATAGGGCTCAACAAAATCAAAATTGGGACATCAGCTAATTGCTTTTTGCTATCCATACTGAGGCTGAGGCCATTATGGACTCCAGTACTAACATTTTGATTAGAATTTTGAGCACACACTGAAATCTAAAATACTTACAGAATATGTTGATTTCTTCTTCATTATACTGATACAGACATCTATATTCCCATAACATACAGAATATAGCTAGACTGTCTTATGGAAACTTTCGCACAAATACTCAAGATATTAATTGCCTGACTCTCACTGGTTTCTTTAACACTTTTTTTAATAGGCACTTGTTCTGCAATCCTTCTAGATCTGAGAAAGAGAGATAAAAGCAAATTTCCAAAATATGCCCTTCATTTGAACATTGCCTATCACCTGTTCTCATAATTTTTGAATGCTGCCATTTGAAACAAATCATCAGATTTTCATACATAAATGAATAATCTTCCAGAGCTCTACCTACTGCAGTTCCAAATACTATTATAATTTTGACTAATATACCCATTTAAGTGAAATCTAGATTTGTCTTTTGCATAATGTAGTCAAATGATTCTTGCTTTATTTGTTCTCTCTCACTGTAGAATTTTAACATGGAAATCTTACAGACTTTCCGAGAACACTGCTAAGAGGAAATTTGAAGGCACTATGAGAAATATTGTTCTTGTGAAGATTTTTGTTTTATACTGATAACTATGGCAATTTTTTGTTCATGTCCATTAAAGATCTGTATTGAAAAATACTTGAGTTTCTGGTGAAGTCATAAAAAATAGCATAGAAAGCAGATGCATTTACTAAGGTCTAAAATATAAAGAGTTGTTTATTAAGTTTCCGCCGAATCATAGGAAAAATGTAAAGACTTGTTTGAATACATTTTTACTAATTTTAGTAACTACATGTATCGCAAGTGCTTGAAAATCAACCAAGAGCAAAGACCTGTACTTGTAGATTACATGCATGCACAGACTAATAGCCCCCAATGGTTAGATTTCTCCCTTTCCAGGTTTCTATGGCTGTTGCTGACAGCTCCATTGGACATAATGCTGGAAAAGCTTTTTGCAGACAATGGCATGGACTGGAATTTACTTTGTTGTAATGAAAGCTGAATATGATCCTCTGTACCAAAGAAGTTATCACAGATGTACTGGACAGACCTGCTCATGTGAAGGCTGAAGTGAGGAATGAAAATTAGCAGGGTGACCTGGAGTAAAAGGAAGGCAAAACTAGAGGGAACTACTAGAGGCACAGGGGCACAGGGAATAATTTAAATTATTTCAGTAGATGTTACAAGGGAGAGGAATATGTATCTGGAAGAATAAGACCCAAGGTAATCCTGGCCTAAAAAAGTAACCAATGTCTTGAAGAGACACTTCAAATTAAGTATAATTTTGTAACTATAGTGGGCTATTTGTTTTATTGAATTAGTTTATCACCCCATAGGGAATGAGAGTATTTGGTCATACAGTTATGTGTGTGTTACCATTCCTCTCCCTCTGTCCATCCCCCAACCCCCCTGCAAAAAAAAAAAAAAAAGTTATCAAGTGCTGAGTTATCAGGTGCTCAGGTACTAGGTGTTAGTAGTTTCATATTTCAGTATAGCATCCTTGGTACACCAACCTAAAAAGGAATGCTGTAGAGCATATGTCACTTAATTTTCCATTTTGTTTCTTCGGTAAATGAAAAACATCTTTTGCCTTTATTCTACAAAATATTATATTTGCCTTATGCATTTTATCTTCAAAATACTTTGACTTCTTAATCTTTATGTAATTTGTTAAATAGGTTGCTTGCAACAGGCTAATTAAAAGCCCTTAGCAATTTTACCTTTTATTATTTTAATTTTTATGTAATACAGTGGAAAATAAAATTTAGACTTAAGAC